CTGCAATGAAGATCAAAGATCCCACATGCCACAACCAAGATGTGGCATAGCCAAATAAATAAATTTATTTAAAAAAAGAAAAATGTTAAACAAAAAGAATGAGGGGGTAAGCCTGAAAAGGGGTTGCTTCCCAGGTGACTCAGTGGTAAAGAATTTGCCTGCCAATGCAGGAGACTTGGGTTTGATCTCTGGGTCAGGAAGATCCCCTGGAGGAGGAAATGGCAACACACTCCAGTATAATGCCTGGGAAATTCCATGGACAGAGGAACCTGGTGGGCTACAGTCCATGGGGTCGCAAAGAGTTGGACACGACTTAGTGACTAAACAACAACAAGCCTGAAAAAATAACTGGAACAGTTATATGACTAAATAAGAGAGTAGAGGGGATAAGGCTCAAAAAGAAGACAAACTTGACACAGAATATTTTTAGTAACCTCAAGGAACACTGTAATGTTTAGTAGTGGGGGAACTGGATAGCATACTTTAATTCTGGACATAGCACTGGAGAAGCTGGAGGTAACAGGGTACATTAGAGGTAGTGATGCTTCCATATGAACTGGAATGGGCGCAGAGAGAGTCACAGAGCATAGCCAATTTTGGCCATCTCCACTTCTGTAAATGTTGACAAACCAAACAAAGCTTAAGTCTTATTGTTCTGGCTAGCCAACGTGGGAAAAGAAAAATGAAGATTCACCCTTCCCAGGTGAATCTGTGTCTGCATTTTCTGAGCCTCACAGCACGTGAGAATGGTCAGTTATTTAGAGAGCTCTGAGTCAACAACCCCAGACCTAATCTACCTGCACACGACTTTCCCCATTCAATTCCTCCTACATATGTTAACAAACTGACCTGAGCAAATTTCAACTCTGGTTCTCATCACTCTTCAGCTAAGACATTTCACTAGCTTCCCACAGACTTCAGAATAAAATCTCAATACAATCTTCAGCCTAGCTTTCAAGTAAGTATGACAGACATAAAAGCAATAGATTTTGGCATAGAAGACTTGGGTTCAAATACTTGTTCTGACAAGTATCTATGGGACCTTGGTCAAATTATTTTAATTCTCAGAGCCCGTTTCCTCACCTGTAAAATATGGATGATAATTTCACACAGGTGGTGTGAGAGATAATAAGGCACCATTTATCTAGTACACAGAATCTTGATCAAGAATTTCCTCCTTCCCTTACTTTATCACTCAGCTTCAACCTATTTTTTCTAAAGTAATTTTTGTCAGTATTTCTCTTTATGCACTATTGTACTGTGTGCTATGCTAAGTTGCTTCAGTCGTGTCTGACTCTTTGCAATCCTATGGACTGTAGCCTGCCGGGTTCCTCTGTTTATGGGATTCTACAGGCAAGAATACTGGAGTGGGTAGCCATTTCTTCTCCAGGGGATCTTCCCAACCTAGGGATCAAACGTGCGTCTCTTAGGTCTCCTGCACTGGCAGGCAGGTTCTTTACTATTTTGCTAAACTCTCCCAGAGTCTTACTGTCCCTCCCAGGTATCCTCTCTGGATGTCCCTCCCCTTCTACCTGTTACCCACAAAGAATCAGCAGGTAGGGCAGGCTGGGATCTCCCAGGTCTTTGAAGATGAGTTCCCAGGAGATGTGCCCAGGGCTAGGAATATAGCAGTAGATACAGAACTTGCACTTAAGGTACTTTCACACTAGTGGAGAAGTCAGACAAATGGACAGGCAATTATGATACTGAGACAAGTGCTCTGATGGAGAAAAATTTAGAGGGCTATGCAATCTTACTCAAGTTTGAGAAGTCAGAGATTGACAGGGTGATAAAATGTAAGTTTAGACCTTCAAGTAGGTGGTGGGAGTGGGAGGTGGGAAAGGAATTGAGGGAGAAGGGAATATGGTAGAAGTGAGATCATCATGGCACATTTCTCCTTAGCTATCCCCATAAACGCTATGCTCAATATGCTATCTTCTTCCACACCTCTGTGCTTTGCCTGTGCTCCTTCCCTGCCAACTCATGTTTTGGAAGCCAGCTCAAATCATTTCCTCTTGGAAAGACTTCCTCAGGCAAAATTAGTCATTCCTGCCGCTCTCCTTCTACACTAATGACTCCACTTTATGAGCCAAAAACCTGCATACATTGTCTGACAGTGAATTCTTTTTCTGATAAACTGATTTTATTAGATGCTATAGATATTGTGGCTCAGCTGGTAAAGAATCTGCCTGCAATGCAGGCGATCTTGGTTCAAGCCCTGGGCTGGGAAGATCCTTTGGAGAAGGGACTATCTACCCACTCCAGTATCCTGGTCTAGAGAATTCCATGGACTGTATAGTCCATGGGGTGGAAAAGAGTCTGACACGACTGAGAAACTTTCACTTTCATAGATATGGAAGTTAAATCATATTTTATTTGTCTTTAATAAAAAGAAAAATAGAGAAAACAATCATATACATAATACATATCTGTGTCATTGTTTTTGTTATTCATATAAGGGATAGTTAGGGAGTTTGGGATGGACATGTACACACTGTCAAAATTGATGGCAATGTAGTATATATACAAAACTGAACAGTTTATAATGTTAAATAACCATTAATTTTCATTTTTGCTACTATTACTGCTAGGCTCTGAACATTTAATTGGACTCTGATGAGTTTTTTAAAAGTTTAATGATTGTCTGTTACTTTTCTGATTGTCTGATTACTGGTCAGAGAGGGGATAATTGGAATATGTTTGGAATATCTCTCAACAATAATCTCTAAGTATTTTCATTAGTAATTTTTATAGTCTCCTTATCTGGGTCCAGTTTCTTTATTTTGTGGCTCTTGTATGTAAATTACTTCTCTCTCCTGAGATAAGTTGAGTATCACAGAAAGGGGAGTTATGGCACTTGCCCAGTCCTGAAATCCCCTTTGACCTCTTGCTCTCACCTTTAACTTGCTTTGAACTCTCCCCAAATTATTGATCCTGAAAAAAAAATTATTGATCCTGTGGGACAGCTACCTGATTATGAACTTGGCTCTTCTGACAATGGTTCTAGGATCTCCTCCCTAAGTAATTGGGTAATGTCTCTCCTAACTGGTGAAGTACTCAGGCATTTGTTAGTGAGGATGAAAATTTAGGTTTAAGCAATACAGAAATTAGTGTAAATATGCAATATTAGGATCTGAAACTGAGAGATCTAATGTCTACTTCATTTGCTACAAGCTCTGTTCTATTAAATAGCATAACTGACCTTCTAAGAGGAATTTCTTGATGAATCCTGGAAAGTTAAAAAAAGTGAGAGACAATATTTCTTTATTTGATTTCCCAACATAAGGTGTGTATGCTGCTGCTGCTTAGTCACTTCAGTCATGTCCGACTCTGTGCGGCCCTATGGACTGTAGCTCTCCAGGCTCCTCTGTCCATGGGATTCTCCAGGCAAGAAGACTGGAGTGGGTTGTCATGCCCTCCTCCAGGAGAGCTATTCAACTCAGGGATAGAACCTGGGTCTCCTGCATTGCAGGCAGAATTTTTTTTAACACTGAGCTACCAGGGAAGCCCATGAGCTATGTATATGTAACTGCTAAATACCTGGAGAAGGGAAAGGCTAGCCATTCCAGTATTCTGGCCTGGAGAATTACATGGACTGTATAGTCCATGGGGTTGCAAAGAGTCAGACACGACAGAGCAACTTTCACTTTCACAGGTACCCAAAGCCTAGATATAAGTGATCATGATTTTTAAGAGACTTTTATTTTTAAAAGTTCATTTTTATGATCTTACCACTTTTTCTAATTCTAAAATGCAATTTTATGATTAAAAAATTACCTACTAGCCAAATAATGCCTCACGACAGCACTATTTTTATCTCCTTTTGCAGTGAGGGATTCAACTGTGCTCTGATAATACAGTGGTGAACAAAGAAGACAGGGTCCTTGACTCAACAAATATCTGTGCTCCCACTGGTCAGCCTTCAAGCCCCTTAACCTCTCTGCTTCCAGATACCCACTATTTCCTGGATCTATAGCTCTCTTCCTTTCCCACTGCAGGAATTAAAGCTCTCATTATCTTCCAACTCCAAGAAAAAAAAAAGAAAAAGCCTCCCTCACTGGTTTCTTATCCATCCAATCACTCAACATGAGATTTCTAAAATGCAAATCTTTGGGCTGATTTTCAATTTCCTACTGTATTAAGTCCTGATTCTCGGACTTTCTATGTAAACCCCTGCAGAATTTCTCTCTGGGTATAAGACCTGTCTTATCTCTGGGTGTTCTCCAGTTTGCAACCAAAGTACAAGCAACGTCTTATCACTTGCAGTAAGAACAGGACCTACCCTGTCTGTAGCATTTTGGTCTGTGAGGAGGGGATGTGGGGGCAGTTACTGGGAGACTATTAACCACTAAAGAAGAACCCACTCCAGAGCCAGGAAACAGGTCGCCTCAAGCTTGCTCTGAAAGTACACATCTTTTCCCCAGTCATAAATAGTTCCCATTTTTGTAATCTTGTGATACACTCTCTAGCTGAGCCATTCTGGCTACCTAATTCCACCCCCTTTCTGCCCTACAGCATTTCCCATCACACAAGGCCTGTGGTTTTAAGTCTCCATTTTTTTGCTTCTAAAGTTTCCTGGGCCTGGGACGTCTTTTACCTCCCAGGAGGTCTGGCGACTGTTTATTCCGCGTTCACGGCTCGGGAGACTTTCCTTTCTCGCTCGCCCACTCGGCCTCCCCACCTGGGGCTTCTATCCTCTGGTGCGCTTATCCTGCGATCGCAGGCCTGGCAACTGTGGAGGTGCATTAGCGACTGCTCCACCAGTCCCGGGAACCGCCTGAACGTGAACCATCGCCGATGCCCTGCACCATCCACCGCGGGCCGCAGGAGCTTCGGGTTCACTCTGGGACTGGAGGGACTGGGAGTCAGTCCTCTCGGATCACTGGAGAGGAGCTGTCGCGGGGTCACGTGAGCCGCCGATTGTCACGCGGGTGCCGCCCACCTGACCAGGCCGTCACGTGGCCCGGCCGGCTGGGGGAGGGGAGGCAGACCGGCGGGCCATGGCGGGCTCCATGCTCAGGTTTTCGCTGCTGCTGGCGGCAGCGTTCGCTGGGCGGGCGACGGCCCTGTGGCCATGGCCCCAGTACATTCAGACCTCTGAGCTGCGGTACACCATCTTCCCGCACAGCTTCCAATTCCAGTACCATCTCAGTTCGGCCGCACAGGTGGGCTGCTCCGTCCTCGACGAGGCCTTCCAACGCTACCGTGACCTGCTCTTCGGTTCCGTGGCTTTGCGTTTTTCCCACCCCATAGGTGAGTCGGACCTGCCCAGTCTCGTTCCGGGCTCCGAAAGGCCCTGCCTGGGGACACCTACCCCAAACCTCCTGAAACGCCCTTCCTCGGCCTTTTGCCCACCCCCCTAGTCTGTCCCAGTCCTCTAGCCTCCACTTCCACCTGCCCCTTTTCTCCAGCTGTCCTCTCAGCCTCCCCAAGAGTTGGTCCCCCACCTCCATTCACTTCTTCACTAAATTGACTGTCCAGAACTTTGTGATCCTGTCCTCCTGCTATATATTTCATCAATAATGTCTGCTTTAGGGCTACAGTTCAATCAGATTAGGAAATTCCTAAAAAATACTGTGCCAGTAGACATCTAAGGTGATCCCTCTGAGCATGTTCCATTGTCTGGGTCCTAGTGAGGTTGTGTTCAGGGCTGGGGAGAGACCAGAGCTAACACCCGCCACTGGTAAGACTAGATGTGAGAGATATACTGACCTGTGCAACATTACATAAAACTATCTGACCCCAATTAGGGAAATGTTTAAACCGTGAGAGGAAAAACACTGACCACTTCCATAAGGAAATGAGTTTTAAGCAGCCACTTAAAGTGAGGTGGTGGATATAATTGGCCAGGACTGAAAGGAGAGTATTCCAGGAAGGAAGGAAGGTTTGAGCAGAGGCACAGAGGCTTACAGTTAAAATCACAGTGCTGGGCTGGTGTGTGTAATGAGGTGGGGGACTGGGGACCAGTGAGATTGAGGAGGGTGTGGAATTGAAATGAAGAATCAGGAGTGCTTTGGATATGGGCTTCATCTGAAATAGCACAGGCTGGCAATTTTTCTTTAAGGCAGTTACTGAAAATTGTGCTTGTGGGGTTTTGTCTATTGGGAGATAATGAAAACTGTTTTGGACAAACATTACCGAAGAAGAGACAAGAAATTTCCTTCTCTGATGTTCTTCCTGTGGAGTCTTCCCTTTGGAGCACAGTTTCCTGGAGAGGCTTTCAGATGACTTGAGCCATAAGCCATAATCCTATGTCTGCAAAATCAAGGAAGAATCTATGGAGGAGAACAACATCAACAAAGCCCAAACCATAGTTTATTTCCCAATGGGATTGAAGAAAACAACATATGCAAGTTGTTGTTGAGTCTCTTAAGTCGTGTCCAACTCTTTTGCAACCCCATGGATTGTAGCCCACCAGGCTTCTCTGCCCTTAGGATTTCCCAGGCAGGAATACTGGAAAGGGTTGCCTATTCCCTTCTCCAGGGGATCTTCCCCACCCAAGGATCAAACCCACATCTCCTGCTTGGCAGGTGGATTCTTTATCACTGAGCCACCCGGAAAGCCCCATATGCAAGTTAAAACTTGGCTAAAGCTTCCAGTGTCCTTGTAGGCTAGCTCCTCCACCAAAGATCAAACTCATGCACTGTGCATTGGGAGTGCAGAGTCTTAACCACTGGACTGCTAGTGAAGTCCCCAGTGCTTTCTTAATGCAGCACAACTTCTGGTTTTGATCCGCTCCTCGAATTCAGTGAAGTTCATACTTCCAGGTTTTCTAAAAAAACAAGTCTGGTGTTGAGTTTCAACTCTATTCTGAACTTGCCTCCAAGGCTTAGCTGTAGTCCATTAATTGCTAAATGGTTTGTGGAAGTATTTAGTACTTGTAATTGACAGGTGTTTATGCCAACTGGAGGATATGTGTTACATGTTGTTAAACTTGTTGAACAGGGTTATTTTAGGCTCTAGATACTTGAATGAACCTAGTTCTCTGTTTTGATCATTAAGCCACATCCTGTTTACAAATCAAAGAGCTGATTATTTGAGATAGCATCAACTAATTTTGCTCCAAATACTTTTTGGGGTGCTTGATGGAGTTGATAAAGTCCTGGTAAAATGACTAAATCTGATTATGTCATTTGACTGCATCCTTTGCTTTTCTTGAAACTAATTGATTGAAGCCATAATGATTATTATAAAGTTCTCATCCTGTTCTGATGCTTACATGTACATTCCTAGGAGTTACTTAGGATGCCATTGTCCCTGAACAGAATAATCCCCCACCCCCTCCCCAGACCTTTTAATCTAGAATGGAAGGAAGATTATTGTATGAGTATCTGGATCCTTCTGCAGCCATTATCAATATTTGATTAGCTTATCCTCAGATGTTAAGTGACCAGGTTAATAAGTGGCATAGTTCATGATAATCTGAATCTCCTAAAATTCCTCCTTTGGCCATTCCTTCTATAATTGTGCCCTAAACATAGATATTTAATTATTTGTTGAATATAATAAAATTAACTTTAAAGGACTATTTCGTATAAAAGTTTGTAAAAAGGTTTCATGATTTTTGTTTATGTCCTGTTTTGTTTATGTCCTGTTTATGTCAGTTGCTCAATCATGTCCGACTCTTTGAGACCCCATGAACTGCAGCGTGCCAGGCTTCCCTGTCCTTCACCATCTCCTGAAGCTTCCTCAAACTTATGTCCATTGAGTTGGTGATGCCATCCAACCATCTTTCCCTCTGTCGTCCCCTACTCCTCCTGCCTTCAATCTTTCCCAGCATCAGGGTCTTTTCTAATGAGTTGGCTCTTTGCATCAGGTGGCCAAAGTACTGGCGCTTTAGCTTCAGCATCAGTCCTTTCAATGAATATTCAGGACTGATTTCCTTTAGAATTGACTCATTTGATCTTGCAGTCCAAGGGACTGTTCTTCATGTCTGAGATCATCAAAAAGATGATTTGCATATTTCATTTAGAATTTATTGTCTTTCAAGTTTCAAATTTGGAATATTAGCATGTGATTTCATGAAAAGGAGGCTCACAGTATGCTGTGGCCCTAACTCAAGCTGCTCTTAACTCATCACAGAATGAGATGCGTTGGAACTACATCTAGAGAACATAGGAGGGAAGCCAGTAAGGGCAGCTCCCCCGTGGCAAGGACAAGGCATAGCCTTGGGGTGCTTGATGGAGTTGATGAAGTCCAGTTCAGTTCAGTTGCTCAGTCGTGTCTGACTCGTTGAGACCCCATGGACTGCAGCACGCCAGGCTTCCCTTTCCATCGTCAACTCCTGGAGCTTGCTCAAACTCATGTCCATCGAGTCAGTGATGCCTCCAACCATCTCATCCTCTGTTGTGCCCTTCTCTTCCCGCCTTCAATCTTTCCCAGCATCAGGGTCTTTTCTAATGAGTCAGTTCTTTGCATCAGGTAGCCAAAGTATTGGAGTTTCAGCTTCAGCATCAGTCCTTCCAATGGATATTCAGGACTGATTTCCTTTAGGATGGACTGGTTGGGTCTCCTTCCTGTCCAAGGGACTCTCAAGAGTTCAAAAGACCACAGTTCAAAAGCATCAATCTTCAGTGCTCAGCCTTCTTTATAGTCCAACTCTCACATCCGTACGTGACTACCAGAAAAATCATAGTTTTGACCAGAAAAACCACAGCTTTGACAACTTTGTTGGCAAAGTAATGTCTCTGCTTTTTAATATGCTGTCTAGGTTGGTCATAGCTTTTCTTCCAAGGAGCAAGCGTCTTTTAATTTCATGGCTGCAGTCACCATCTGCAGTGACTTTGGAGACCAAAAGAATAAAGTCTATTATTGTTTCCCCATCTATTTGCCATGAAGAGAAGGACCAGAAGGCATGATCTTAGTTTTCTGAATGCTGAGTTTTAAGCCAATTTTTTCACTGTCCTCTTGCACATTCATCAAAAGGCTGTTTATTTTTTCTTCGCTTTCTGCCATAAGGATGCTGTCATCAACGTATCTGAGGTTATTGATATTTCTCCCAACACTCTTGATTCCAGCTTGTGCTTCATTCAGCCTAGCATTTTGCATGATGTACTCTGCACATAAGTTAAAAAGTCCAGGTAAAGTGGCTAAATCTGATTATGCAGAAGACTTGACTGCCACTTACATATATTACCTTAAAAGCAAAGATGAAGAAAACAATGCAGCAAGAGAGTTTTGTAGTAGAATTCTTTTTCTTGTGATTGGGCATCTGGAGGATGGAGGGCTATATAAGGAGAAGAAATACAGTGATTTGAGAAGAATAGGTATCAGGAGAATCATTTTTAGCAAAGGGCAAAATAATTGTGTTCCATTTTGAATCCCTGGGCCTAGGCTAGCTTGGCCTCTACCAGCCCCTCTTCTCGCAGCTGAACCCAAGAAGCTCAGCTTGGTCTAGATGTGTGGGGGTAGTCTGGGCCTGGTTTATGAAAAATTCCAGTCTTATTTCCTTGAGCCATCTCTGCTTCCCCTTTTCCCTGCTTGAAGACCAATTACAGTAGTGGACTCAGGGTCTGAAACATGATCTATTCAGGAGTCAGCCACAGAATGTTTATTGATCACTTCTTTAACTATGTTCCTTTGGCAAATTGCCTAATTTGCAAGTAGCTAATGCTGCTTTTTATTTTCTAATGTGTCTACATTCCAAGCGTTTCTGAGGATATAGGGAAATAATGATGAGTGTCTTTACAAACTCTGAACACTAGAAGGGAGAACTGGGTGTTTTGTTTTGTTGTTTTGACTCTGCTGGGTCTTCGTTGCTGTGCAGGCTTTTTCTCCCTGAGATGAGCGGGGACTACTCTTCAATGCAGTGTGCAGGCTTCTCATTACCGTGGCTTCTCTTGTGCGACCCCATGGACTATAGCCCACCAGGCTCCTCTGTCCATGGGAATTCTCCAGGCAAGAATACTGGATGGATTGCCATACCCTCCTCCAGGGAATCTTCCCAACCCAGAGATTGAACCAAGGTCACCTGCATTGCAGGTGGCTTATTTACCATCCACCACTGAGACGCCAGGGAAGCCTAAGAACTTGGTGATTTTTAAAATGAAACAAAATATAAAATGTCTAAACCGTCCAGCTGCCTTTCTTCCCATCTCCTTCCACCCCACTTCCTCACCTCCACACAGAAGAGTGCAGCATGGCACTGGAGATTTTTTGCCAGTTGATTCCCTCTTTTTTGATTTGTTTTTAACAGCAGGTGGGGTCGTTTTCTTTTTTTCCTTACAGCTACTCAGTTTTGCTAGGGCATGTTG